AGGAGGCTGGAAGGAGCTGACGGAGCTGCATTTTTCTGAAAGCTCCTGGATTTTCTTAAACTGCTCGAGCTTCACAATCAGTCCCTACCTTTTTATTGTAGAACATGTTGAGCATAAACAAAAGCTGGATGAGTAGTGATTGCCTTGCACGTGCCTATAACTGGACCAGACCAAGCACTGGCTGTTGGCACTGGCACCTCATTTGCATGCTGGCCTTGCTCTGGTCCCCGCTGCTGTTTGAAAGCACTATCCTGACACCGTGTCGTTTTACCCTCCCGTGTCTCACCGCACGCCTCTGAAACAGAAGGACCTGCCTCGTTGCGTAGAGAAGAACATGGCGGTTGTATTACCCTAAAAAAAAAAATAGACCCCCAAACAAAAACAGTACTTTCTGCAAGCACCCGTTATCCTGTGAACCCTATTCACAACCTTAATTATCCTACGAGCATTTAAATTTCCTGTCGTCGTATAAATGCCATTATTTCTTGGAGAAAAAAGAAACAGGTTGTTTTCGCTACAGTTTCTCTGAGATTTCTACTTACGGTGTTGGCTAGAATGTTTCTCTGTTCTCTGTATTTCCTGTCATGGCTAATGACTGGATTAGATTGGCGCTCTGATTTTTTCGGGAGGGGGGCATGTGGGTGGCACTCCATCAATAGTGTCTCTCCCCTCAGGAGGCATTAATGGGACTGCCTGTCACTCGGTCCTGTAGCCTTGGCCGATCACCACCTTCGCTCACCAGGCGCGGCAGAACGGCGGTACTCTGACCCCGTCGACCTTTCTGCTGGGTACCTTCCCCTATCTGATCCACTTTGAATGGGAGCGAAGGGACAGTCTCCTGATGTGTTTCCGTACCAGCTTTTAAATTGCGCCCTGACCCGCAAGCACCCTCTGACTATGGCCCATTTAATTACAATGGTCCATTTAATTAGTTGTTTCTTTTGTGTCATTTTACATTCATGGGCTTTACAAAGAGTTGATGACCTTTCACCTGTCGCCATCATCCCAATGGAGGCTCTAAATGTCCCCTTGTTGACCAGGGACACTGTCTTCTTCCCCTTGGTTTGGGAGCCGTTTTGACCTTAACACCTTCCGTGGTGTCCGTCCGGGTCCCGGACCAGAGTCAGCCGTTTACAGCAGGAACCCTGAGCTCGGCTGCCGGGCAGAGGCCTCGCCGGACTCACTGCGGGCACAGGGGCGTCCCACAGTAGGCTTCCTGTTTTCTGACCGCCATACAGGTGTTGATGCTCTTAGGGAACGTACCGTAGGCTGTGGGGTATCACACACAAGTGAGTTGTATCTGAGGAGAAGATAAAGTGAGCGACAATAGAGCCGTGCGCCTATTAGTGGTAATTAAAATTTAAAGGAGCAATCAAATTTACTGTTTATTATGTGCGCTCTTTGTTTCCAAAATTAAAATCCATATTTCACATGCAAAGGTGCTTTGTGATATCGGTGTCATGAAGGATTAATATTCTCGTCAAAACCAACCAGCATACACAAATCACACTTGTCAGTAAGAACCAAATGGTCTCAATCGGTTAGAAACCAACAGTACCACGGAATCCCACAGTGCTTTTAAACTGTTTCCCATGGGCAAGACTTCTGAACAAGCTTTCTAAAAAACACATTATTGTCAGGCAAAAATAAGCCACATGTAAAGTCAACTGATATATAAAACTCAGAGTAACTGACTGCAATTCTGTCTTATTTTTGGAAGAGCAAGAAAAGAATGGGTTGCTTTGCTATATCTTTTGGTATTACAAATTGAGGAAACAGCCTAAAAATGAACAGTAATCACTTTTGGGCAACTTATTTCTAGGTCTTTAATATTTTCAGCTTGGAAGCGTCGCTCGAGTACACAGAACAGTGAACCCAGCCATGTGCTTGCACGCAGACCGCTGTGTCCTTGACGTTAGCTGCCAGCAGGTGGCGATGCGCGAGATTGTCTGCAGGAAATCTCTTCCTTAAAGAGCCTCACCCTGGGTGCTTTCGAGAGTCCGCACGGAGTGTGGCTTTTCGGTTCATCTCCCCCGATCCCAGAAGCCCTTCACACCTCACCGCATCACGGCGCAGGCTGAGTAGCCACAGCACAACCTGGGAAAGCCAAACTGACAAAAAAAAAAAATAGACATCATTTTGATTCATTCACACTGGACCGCTCTTGTGTTGGCTGCTGCTATTTCTTTTATTGGACAATCTAAGGAAAAAGAGGCCTGCGCCCCTGACTAAAACAGGCAGGGAGGGCACACTTTAAACATTCTTGCAGCAGAGGGTACAAAATCGCAGCTCTAATAAATTTGCCGCAAAATATATAAAACAAAACTCCGAGCATCCGTGGGAGAGAATTAATCTATCATGATGGGTTTCAACGCAAAATTCTTGATCTGTCTTGGATTTCGAAATGTCGATGTCATGTTCTTACTGAAGGAAAGGTCAAGCATCAGCTACGAAAGAGGCAATTTGACAATACGACCGATTGGATGAACATGCACTTGGAGTAGATAAAGGAGCAGAAAAAAATATTTGGCAGATGGACGGCTAACGAACTGGTAACAGTGGGAAGTTGCAGGTACAAGGTGCTCAGCGAACATCAGACGTGAGAAACACAACCCAGCCCGGTCTGACAGGCACCGGAGTCAAACTGCCGAAAATGAACGACAGCCAATAAGCCTCAAAAGCAGCAAAAGGAAGAGGTAGGGAAGAAACAGCCCAGGAAAGAACGACCAAGTTCATTGTTGCCTTAGGGTTCCATCAGAAACCACAGTGGCCAGGAGAGAGCAAAACGAAGTTTCAGAACGCTGCAAGGGAAGAAAAAAGAACCCATCGACCTAGAATTCTCTGTTAAATAATGTCCTTCGAGGGTGAAGGGTAATTGAGGACATTTTCAGATAAAACCGAGGTAAAGGGACTGGGTACCAGTCCACACATACAACCAGGAACCCTAAAGAAAGCCCTTCATGAAGCAGGAAAATGACATCAGGCGGAAACTCAGATCTCGATAGAGAATAAAAAGCATCGGAATGGTAAACAGTGGGTAGGTGCGGAAGGCCGATTTGACATTTCCTTCTGAGTTTCTTTACAAGCCCTATTTTGTTCCAACCAGTCATTACAGCATCGTCTTGTGGAACAAGTAAGCCCTGTTGATGTCATACACTTAATTATAAAATCACGGGGCTGGAGATGGGCCCGCAAACGTGGCCACTTTCTGTGTGTCCGAGAAGTAGCATTGTTAACCCTTTGTAGGCCGTGTGACAGTGAATCCCCCGGACAACCACTGAAAAATAAAGGCAAAGAAAACACAGCTAAAAAATAAGGAAATTAAAATTCTAAAAATATTCAACAACAAAGTGAAAGCCAAGAAACAAAAAAAAGGGGGAAAGAAGTTGACAGAGAAGAAGAAAATAAGCCAAAGAAAAATGAAAGAGACTAAACCAAACTGCGTCAGTACTTCATTAGATGTGCCTAGGGTACATGTACCAAGACAGAGCATATTATGGGCCACAGAAATGTCCTAATGAGTTATAAAAAGACTGAAACCATCTGCAGGGCAATCTTTGATCCGATGAATTTAAATTAAACATCTATAAAAATAAGAGGGCCAGAGTAACTCTATATATTTAGAAATGAAACAACACATTTCTAAATAATCATTGGACCAGGCAGACGTTACAGGGAAAATTAGAGATAATTTAAAGTGAATAGTAATATAATTCAGCCTATAAAGTCTGTGAGATGTAGCTAATACCATCCATGGGGGGAAATTTTTAGCCTTAATAGTTTTTATTAGAAAAGATGGAAAGTGAAATGAAAGATCAAAGCTTCCACCCCAACAATTCAGAACAAGAAGAGAAAATTAAAGCAAGCAGAAGAAAGGAATAAAAAGGGAAAGCATGGAATTCTCTCAGACGGAAGAGAGAAAGACTAGAAAGGCCAGAACCACCGGAATCAACCCAGTCTGCGCACCGCATTCCCTGTGATCGTGGGAGATGCCTTCACCATCACACTGGTTCAGTGGGACCACCTTCCCCCAGAAAGATGTTCTTCCTTCTTCCCCTTGCATGTCCTGCCTGTCACCAACAGCCCTGTCTGCAGGAAGTTCCCCTTTCTGTGACAGTGTGTGGCCCTGCAGGCACACACACAGCTTCTACCCCTCTGCGTGCACACTGGGCTGCGCGCCTGTCTCATTCGTTTTCTAGGCAGTGACTGATTGTACAAAGTATCAGGGTCACTAAAGATACAGTGTAGACATTCAAAGATCTCAGAGGAACAGCCAGTTCTTGATGGAGCAACAAAGAAAACTTGTGGACAAAGTGAAAACAATTCCGCAGGCTGTGGGGGTCAGTATATGTGTGTGCCCAAATTCAGACATCACCCCAAAGTCTCAGATACAAGAAGGTGGTCTGGCCCCGGCCGGGCGGCTCCGTCAGTTGGAGCGCCATCCTGTGCACCCAAAGGCCGCAGGTTCTATTCCCCATCAGGGCACACAGCTAGGTTGTGGGTTCGCCTACAAGAGGCCACTGATCGATGCTTTTCTCTCATGTCAATGTCTCCCTCTTTCTTTCTCTCTCCCGCTTCCTGTCTCTCTCAAAGCAATAAACATGGCCTCAGGTGAGGATTGAAAAAGATGAAATTGGTCCATTTAGTGCCAATTATCTTCCATCCCTTATGGTAGCAGATTTCTTAATCTGCCATCTGTGTTCACTCTGCACGTCCTGCCCAAAAAAGATCTAGAGTATTCTAAAAAAATTGTGAGCACATGTGCTGGTGCTTTCTCTGCCAGTGTGTGGAACAGGAATAGGAGATAAGATTCAAAGAATAGCCGCCCATGAGGTTATGTTAAGAGGAACTAAATATACTTTTCCACATTGAAAGGAGCCTTTGATGAAATGCTGGCTGTATTTTTTCACGAGTAGCCCATTCATTTTACAAACTGTCCGTTGAAGGCTGGGAGAGTTCCTGAATGGCTCATGGTTCTTTTTTAATTTCCTCTCCTGCAGATAAAGAATTCATCTACCGAGAACAGAAGGGAAGCGTGATACTGCGGGATGTTGAAACTAATACGTCTACCGTGCTCATAGAAGGCAAAAAAATCGTAAGTACCCTCTGTGATGACCGGGATAAGTTCCGAGGCGTCTCCTGCAGGAAGTGATTTTCAGGTCCAACTTTCTGTACAGCCACGCAGAAGCAGTGAACGTGGAATACTGCGGGCTGAGCAACGGCAGATAATAAGAAATCGAAAGCACACTAATTTAATAAGATCAAAGCCCCGTTTCTGCTGGGGTTTGGGGAATTTCTCTGAGGTGTTGAAAACAAGTGTCGCAGATCACAGATAATTGAAAGATAAAGTCCCCAGGCTTCCCACATTTACAGGACAACGCGTAGAAAATAGTTTGGGAGGACTTGCTGTTGCTCGTCTTAAGAAACAAACTAACCTCGCACTGGCCAGGGTGCTCAGTGGGTTAGAGCGCCGTCCTGATACACCAGGGTTTCGGGTTTGATCCCTGGTCAGGGCACATACGAGAAGCAACCAATGATGTTGAATAAGGGCAACAACACATTCTCTCTCTCTCTCTCTCTCTCACATCAATTTAAAAAATAAAAAACGAGTCTCTGCCCACACTGGGGCCCTTTGCGCAGGTACCGACTGCACTCACACTAATGGCAGTAGGTGATATTGGTGCCTGAAAACCAGTGTGTTCGGCCTGTGTGCGCGCCACTGCTGCGAAATCCGTCTTCCCAACAATTCGAATGGCATTTTGCGACGTGGAGTTTCTGTGCCGTTAAAGGTGTTTCTCAAACACGTGGCTGAAGCTATACACCCAACATTGGTTTAAAGAGGTTTGATTTTTTTTTTTTCTCCATAAGTTCATTCTCACTGTTAGAAGGGCCGTATCTCCGAGTTTAGGGAGGGGGTCCTACTCTCGTCCGAGGCAGAGGAGGAACTGAAGGAAGAAACTAAGGCGGATTCTAAATCAGAATGATCGGAACGCGTCTCTGGTGTGAACGAGAAACCTAGAAGTCCTGGAATTCTACTACCTGGGGGTTCGGGGGTTCACAGATAAGCATCCTGAGCCCAGAGTTGCAATGGAGCCCCTGAGTGACTGGTGAGGGTCAGGCAGGCCCCCAGAGCCTCTGTTCCAAGGGCAAGAAAGGCGGGCTCCACCCTGGTCCCCCCACCCCAGACTTGTTCAAATGCCGCTCAACTTTCTTTTTCCTCCTCAAGAGCATTCTACGTGCTGCTTACGTACCTCTCGTTTCCTGCTGGGGTGATGATGACTTTTTCTTTAAAATATAAAGTTTGTATGAGGTTTAGGATGCAGTGAATTCTGCCGTGTACACAGACAGTGTGGGGGTACGAGGGGGGGCCCAGGGAGGCGGCCGGGTGGCATAGCTTCCAGAACAAGAGCTCCTTGCAATTAAACAGAGGTCTGCAAAGCCAGACTTGGGAAGAATGGATGTGCCTGCATTTTTGCATTTCGACAAACCAAAAAAAAAAAAAAAAATCATCTTTGGTTGAGTTACGCCCCTGTGGAACTCTGCTTCAACCCTCTCCTAAGTGCTGCCGCTGCAGAAATGGATTTCTGATGGGAACCGAGAGGGGCGAACCAGCAAGCGGTGGCCCGGGGTAAGTGGGTTTTAATGTCGCTGCAACGTCGATATTTCCTGCAAGGACGCCAGTTTAGTAAAAGCAGGAACTGGTGCACGCGGCTGCACTTAGCCATGAAATACGAGCCCACGAACAGCCTTCTCCCTCCCGGATCAATAGCTGGAGACACATCGTTTATTTTCACTGAAGCTGTTTTAGCCCAGCGATGAGGGAACTTCAGAAACCGAGTTCGAGAAGGAGAAAGGGAAGAACTTCCTCTCCCACATCGGCAGGCTGGCTCCGCAGAAGGCAGGCTTTGTCTTCTTAAAATGCCCTTTAGCCCCCGGCGTGATGAATGGTTATTGAGCGCCGAACACCGGTGGCCTGATCAGCCCTTGTCACCGCCGCGCCCAGAGTGTTCTGGCCTCACAGCTGCATTTGCTTCTGTAGGCGACCCCAGCAGAAAGGAAAAGGGGGGACGTGTGGAGGGGCTGCGTCCTATTTACATTGTAGACACACCCCCGGGGCTGGAGTCCCTCCGAGCCAGGGAGCCGTCCACACTGCGGGTCCAGCCAAGGGTGTCCGCCTCCTCTCTGCAGTTGCACGAGCAGGTGCTAAGAAAGAGGAGCCAGGGCTGTGGACTCCTCTTGCCTTGAGGCCTCGCCAGGGGCTGTCTTCTTATTTGACGTCCAGAAGCTTCGAGCTTGTCTGACAAAAGCAGCCTGAACGGAAAGTCCGCGCTCCCGGGGAGGCCGCCGGCCCTTCTCAGGCGGCTCAGTCTGTCGAGCGACCGGCAGCTAGAAGGGCGATGGAAGTGAAGCGGCCCAGGCAGTGCTCCGCCAGATTTTAAGACAGTCCCTCCCGCCTGGACCTCTAGCCTCATTCTCTTCCCCCGGCCACTAAGAGCAGACGCTTCCGCCCTCTGCTAGTGTAGCCCAGTGGATTGAGCACTGGCCAACGAGCCAAAGGGTTACCAGTTCGATTCCCAGTCAGGGCACATGCCTGGGGTGCTGGCCAGGTCCCCACTAGGGGGCGCTCGAGAGGCAACCACACATTGGTGTTTCTCTCCAGTGCTCTCTGCTGGGCTGGACCCATGGAAGAGTTACACGTGGATGCAAGTGCCGGGCAGGCCAGCTGAGAAGCTTTTAAGATAATTGATGGTCACGGAGGGGCGGACTAGCACTAGGGTGTAACCTGGGGACCTACCACCCACCCTCGGAACTGCACGGCGCTCAGCGGTGACAGGACCTTGGGCAGGGTGTACAGTCTCCATGCACCTCCACCCCACCCCTCTGGTGTGCTGGGGGGGATGCCAGCTGCTGGGACACGGGCGTCAGGCTCCTACGGCTCCAGAGCGTGACCCTGGGCTGCTGCGGCTCAGGCAGGGTGAGCAGGGGCGCCGAGCAGTGTCCGCATAGGAAACATTCGTGCCTGTGAGAAGTTTTGTGCATGTGTTTGAGCCAATCTGACGACACTTGCCAGCCAGCAAAACCTCAACAGATTGAGCAAATGCTCCAGAAAAAGGCATTTTTGCACCTTATTTTATCCACCACACTCAAAGGAGGAGGCATGAGGGGGTTTCATGAAATCCACGGGTGGTAGATTAGGGAGGCGGGAGAAAGCAAAACGGGGGAACCTCTGGGATTGGGTCACAGTAAAATGATAGACACTTCTTTACACCAGTGCGTGGAGGCGCGTCACCAGCCAACCACGAACACAATGACAGTGACAGTGAGGGATTTGTGGTCTGTCTGTCGTACGGTGGCTGGAAAAACAGAAGTTACCCTGACGTTCCAAAGGCGAGCTATCAGGCATGTTATTGTAGAAGCAAAAACACAACAGGCAGGCTCAGGAAAGGTAAAGACTGACCTTTGTCAAGGAGAAATCATGGCCTTGGCCATGACTGCCCACCATGACCTGCTTCTCATTAGCTTTCATTTCGCACCATCCCGTGGGGTTGCTTTCGGTGTCTGTGTGTGGAAGGCTGCCACGCAGGCCTCCCCTGAGCTGGTCGGGGGACCACGTGGTCCCTGGTCATCCACAGCAGGAAGGCCCCAGGAGGACCACGTCGGGGCACCTCAGGGCACAGCCCCCGCCAGCTCAGTTTGTGCGCCTTCCTCACAGAAGCCGGGGCCAGGCCGTCTCCAGAGCCAGGCAGGGTATTCGAAGCTGGTGACTATGGCAAACAGCAACCTCAGATCTCCACAGATAACGGGGAAAAATCAACCTTAAATGAATTTTCACTTGAATTACATGTTTGCTGTCCTAGGCATTCCAGGACATTCTATTTCATTCTCATTTTTAAAATAATTTAAATGTCAAACAATGTATTTCACTTTTATGCTCCTGTAAGACTCTTGTCAACAAATTAACAAATTAGAAAAGGGCCCTCGTTATATTATGTGTCCTGTTAGTGTTGCCATGGAAGGAAACACTGCCCGTATTTCTCGTGCTCAAACTGGGTCTTTGGATACTTGGGCAGTGGCTGTCTGCGTCCTGGAAAAATCTCATGAAATTTTTCTTAGCTGAGTAAGACGCTGTCTCACTTCCTGCCTTCTTCCTTCCCCCCCCCCCCCCCCTTCCTTCCTTCCTTCCTTCCTTCCTTCCTTCCCCTTCCTTCCTCCTCCTTTATTCTCCTTCATTCCTTCTTCCTTCCTTCCTTCCTTCCTTCCTTCCTTCCTTCCTTCCTTCCTTCCTTCCTTCCTTCCTTCCTTCCTGTCTCCTTCCTTCCTTTCTTTTTTCTGCCTGTCTGTCTGTCCTTCTCTCTTTCCATCTCTCTCTCTCTCTCTCCATTAGCAGCGATGTGGATTCTCAGTCCTTGACTTCATACAGAAGAGGTTTCACGACATGCATCCTGGTGATTTTGAGGGCACACTTATTCAAGCTGGGGACAGAGAATGGAAGGAAGGGCCTATGGTAGAAGAGGCCAGAGCACAGCCGCAGGAGGGGTCTAGGTGGTCGCGCTGCCTTGCCCATCACAGAGGAAGAGAGCTGGCTGGGCTGCGTGCACTCAGGAAACAAGGCCCCCAAGGGGGCCAAGGAAGGGCCCTTGGGGAACAAAAGCAAAGGTGCACGCCTTAGAAAAGAAGAACAAGACAGGTGTGAGCATGTTCTAGAAGGAGAAAGAATGCACTGGGCCCTTTGCCTTAAGGGTTTTTTATGTTTTCCAAAGGCAGGAATTTGAGGGGACCATCTCAGAAGAATGGTCATCAGCCTTCCCGGTGTGTCTGGTCAGGGTCAAGGTCTCTGCTGATTGGCCGGCACCAGGGCAGGGGCTCATTAGTCTTTGCAGCTGTTCCCGTGCAGCCAGGCGTCCTTTTGTCTGTCCTGCCTTCCTGGGTCTGTGGCCGAAACACAACTGAGGCCTGGGTGTCACCTCTAGTTTGACTGCAGCCGTCTCTGTGGTCAGCAGACCTGAGGCTTCAACCCCAAGAATAGGTGATGCGGGTCAGGACCTCATTGCCCTGAAGACTTTGTGCTTAAGGGGGTGGCCATGCCCCAGAGAA